TCTCTCTCTCTCTCTCTCTCTCTCTCTCTCTCTCTCTCTCTCTCTCCTCTCTCCTCTCTCCTCTCCTCTCTCCTCTCTCCTTCCTACTTTTCTTCCTTTCCCCTTCCCTCCCCTTCTTTCTCTCTCCCTTCCCTTAACCTTCGCTCCCCTCCTTTCTCTCTCCATATCTCATTTATTCCATCCTATACCCCCTCCCCTCCACCCCCTCTCCTCCCTAATCTTACAGGCCCAGAAATACACTATCTTTGGAACACTATAACAGCCCGTGATCTCAGGTGGATTCTATGGGTTTACAGCCAGGATAAGGATGGTATTTTCGAACTATGCCTTTCCGATTACAGCACGCTCACTCGCCTGACCTAGAGGTGGGTATGAAAAGAAGGACCGTCTTTGTATATGTATGTATGTGTATGTGGGAGAGGGAGGGAGGGAGGAGGGAGGGAGGGAGGGAGGGAGGGAGGGAGGGAGGGAGGGAGGGAGGGAGGGAGGGAGGGAGAGAGGGAGGGAGAGAGGGAGGGAGAGAAGGAGATAGAGAGGGAGGGAGAGAAGGAGATAGAGAGGGAGGGAGAGAAGGAGAGAAGGAGAGAAGGAGAGAAGGAGAGAAGGAGAGAAGGAGAGAAGGAGAGAAGGAGAGAAGGAGAGAGGGAGAGAGAGAGAGAGAGAGAGAGAGAGAGAGAGAGAGAGAGAGAGAGAGAGAGAGATGAATACATTCATATGATGTACTTATACATAATGAACCTCTGTAATAATGAGATTAACAGTAGGGATGTTAATGAGAATGATTATTATAACAATAACAGTAAATGAACATTTGGCAAAAATAAGACTTTTTTGCACAGGATGTGTGTCTATACTAAGACACGCACGTGTACCTGCATTTTTTTTTTTAATCAATAAACAAACATCAAAGACATTTCAAGAAGCAAAACAAACAGACGAGAGAGATTTCGAAGCTACATCTTCATTTCACATTCAAAGAGACATCATCCGAACGCCTTAGTAAACTGTAAACTGTAAACTGTAAAAAAAAAAAACGAAAGAATATAAACACGAAAGAAACAAAAAAAAATGTTTGGGACGCACACAGTAACCAGAACTCAAGTGCTTACTCCGAAGTCTCCGTAATTATGTAAATTTGCAGCAGTAAGTCCAGGAAGATGCTCGCTTGGGGTTCCTTCGAGGTGATGAGGAAACACGAAGGTAAGAAGGATAAGGAGAAGAGAGAGATAAAAAGAGTGTAGAACGTATACAAGAGGAATGGCGGGTGGAATGCAAAGAGGGAGAAACATAGATGCTGGGAGAGAGGGAGGAGGTAAAACAGATGAGAACGAAGGTGAGAGAGAGAGAGAGAGGGGGGGGAGAGGGGGGGAGGAAGAAGGAGGAAGTAAGAGTTAGAGAGAGTGTAGGAACCAGCAAAAGAGATAAAGGTTCAGAGAAGAGAAACGCTGAGCTGACGACGTCGATAGCATTCCTCAAGAGTCGCGGAATTGGCAAACTCACTTACTGTAACTAACGTAGAAGGGCAGTCACTATGACTATTTTTCCTTTTCTTTTCTTTTACTGAAAACCTTGACAAGAAAACGGAAAATGTTTAACTTTCCTTAATTTTATGGAAAGGGAAACGTGTATTTTTTTTAGATTTCTTAACCATGGACTCGGAGATTAGAAAAATCACAAGGATTTTTTTATATTATACCAAAAAATACCCAACCCTCCATTCCCTCTCCTCCTCTACCCCATTCCTCCATATTCCTACCCACATATTCCTACCCCCATATTCCTACCCTATATTCCTACCCCCATATTCCTACCTCGATATTCCTAAACCATAGCCCTACCCCATGTCCCTACCCCCATATTCCTAAACCCATATTCCAACCCCATGTCCCTACCCCCATATTCTAGCCCCATATTCCTTCCCCCCCCCCCCAGTCTGCATTCCCGATACCGTTCCCCGCAAGTCCTCCAGCTTGCAGCACGCGCGCCTCTGACATTCCCGCGTGAGTGGCAGGGGGAAGAAAAGAAGAAAAAAGAAGTGTGATGCGGAGGCGAGATACGGCCTCGTGGAGGAAATGACAAAGAGGAATCTGGGCTCCTTCGCCGTGTTGAAGGAGGACGTCGGGTGGGAAGGGCTTAGGGGAAAAGGGAATTAGGGGAGATGTTTATATGTGTGCGCGTACAAATATACAGGAACGCGGGCGCAGGCACAAGTCAAAGTGAAAGGTAGCAAAGATACGTACGAATTAGTATACAGAAACACGCACACACACACGCGCGCGCACACACACACGCACACACACACACACACACACACACACACATATACACATCAATCCATTCATTCACCCGTTCGTCCAACCGTCCATTCACTGTGTGTGTGTGTGTGTGTGTGTGTGCGTGTGCGCGTGTGTGTGTGTGTGCATTTGTGTGTGTGTACTAATTCTTGCGATTTTTTGCGACCTTTTACTATTCTTTAGCAAATACTCTGACGTACTTAATTAACCTCTGGATTTAGATTGTTTTCGTTTTCATTTACTTAAGCATTATTGTTATGATTTCTTTATTATCATTTTACTGTTGTTATTATGATCTTTATTATGATTATTGTTATTGTTTTTTTATTATTTTATCATTATTCATTATTACTATTATTATCATTATAATAGTAATAATGATAATAATGATCATTATTATTATTATTATTAATGTTGTTGTTGTTGTTGTTAATTTTAGTAATATTATCATTATTATTAACTATTATTATTATTATTATTATTGAAATTATAACTTTTACTATTATTGTTTTTAAGTTCTAATCCTCGGGTTCCCCAGAAATTTCACTGCGTGGTACACATAAATACATGCATTTTTTTTTTTTTTTTTTATAAATGCTCTGTTGATATTCGTCTTTCAGAAAATGTATTGCGAATTTTTACGAACTATTTACTGCACTCTCAACACTTATTCCCATTTGACTCGTGCCCATCAGTTACATTATAAACAAACAAACAAGCAAAAAATGGGTACAGTTCCCTCCACTCGCATGATCTTTGACCTGACATTTGATTTTATTACATTTTTAACTCTAGGCCTAATTTGACTCGTGCCCGTCAGTTGCATCAATAAATAGATAAATAAATAAGTAAAAAGTAATTAATGACCTAGTATGACCTTTGACCTGGATGCACATTTGACCTCAATGGCATCAATGGGACGAAAGGCGACGTGTTTATCAGTCAACGTATCTTGCCATTGTTTCGGTTCCTCTTTGTTGTCGCCCTCCGGTGCCGAGCGACATTGATTTCTTTGGCTCTCTCTCTCTCTCTCTCTCTCTCTCTCTCTCTCTCTCTCTCTCTCTCTCTCTCTCTCTCTCTCTCTCTCTCTCTCTCTCTCTCTCTCTTTCTCCCTTCCCCCTCTCTCTCCTTCTCCCTCCCTCCCTCTCTCCCTCTCCCTCTTACCTTTCTACCCCTCCCTCCACCCTCCCTCCACCCTCCCTCTCCCTGTCTCTCTCCCCCTCCCCCTGCCCCTTTCCCTTCCGGTTCTCCTTCCCTCCTTCCCTGTTAAGTGCCAATGAATCAGGACCAGGAACCAGTGGATAAATTACTTCGGTTTAATTTTATGTAGCGGAAGGAAGGAGGTGTTGTATTTCATGCATACATACATACATGCTACATATTTACACAAGTTCATTCATACTTATTTGCTAACTTGCTTTGCTTGCTTGTTTGTTTACATATATTTTTATATACTTATGTATATAAGCAAACATGCACGTATTCGCAAGTGCACGCACATAATGTACCATTTACTCTCCTTGCTTCCCCTTCCTCTTCAATTTTACGGTTTATTTCATCTCTCTCTCTCTCTCTCTCTCTCTCTCTCTCTCTCTCTCTCTCTCTCTCTCTCTCTCTCTCTCTCTCTCTCTCTCTCTCTCTCTCTCTCTAACTAATTTTCAATCTTATCTATTTTCGTCTTCTTTCGTTTGGTTTCTATTCTTTAAGATCCAGGAGTAGTGAGTAAGCTGGAATAAAAAAAATATATATATAAAAAGAAAATGAAAAAGAGGAAGAAAAAAGTTTAATTGCTTTCTGCCGTAAGACCCGGAAATGTCATCTAAACAAGTAACTTTTTTTCGTGATTTTAATTCTATATTATTCTTTGTCATAAAAAACGGTGCATAAGAAACTTTTTTTCGGTGTCTAAGATAAAGCAGGTTAGATTTTTCTTTGCTTTTCCTAGTTGTTGTAGTTGTTGTTGTTGTTGTTTTCTTTTGGCTGTGAATGTACCACATAATAATTGCGTGCTTATTAACATTTAATAAAAGATACTCTTATTGATGGTGATTGGTGTTGGTGAAGATAATGTTGACGATGGCAGTGGCGATGGTCTCGGTTTAGTTGTTGCCAGTTCATTTGTTACTAATAGTGTTACTATTTAATACCCATAGTTTTTTATGGGAATAAAAACGTATCTTTCTAATATAAGATCCCAGAATGTGATACATACAAACATGCATTCGTACATATATATATATATATATATATATATATATATATATATATATATATATATATATATATATATATATATATATATATATGTATATATATATATATATATATATATATATACATATATACATATACATATATACATATGCATATATATATACATATATATATATATATATATATATATATATATATATATATATATATATATATATATATATATATACACATATATATGTACACATACATACACGCACACATATACATATACATATATACATACACACGCGTATACATTAATACACATTTATATACATACATACAAACACACACACACACACACACACACACACACACACACACACACACACACACACACACACACACACACACACACACACACACACACACACACACACTCTCTCTACTGTACACCCCTGGAACTAAACCCAACAGCATCCAATAACTTTCGTTCTTCTCGCCTTACAGGAAAAACAAGAACGCGAGGAAGAGGAGCGGAAAAAGCGACTGCAGCTGTACGTGTTCATCCTCCGCTGCATTTCGTACCCGTTCAACGCCAAGCAGCCCACCGACATGACCAAGAGACAGATCAAGGTCACCAAGCAGCAACTCGAGACGATTCAAGGACGATTCCAGGTAAAGTGACTGATGTCTTGTTGTTTTTTTATTTTTATTTTTTTATCTTTTTTTTTTTAGGTAAAGTGACTGATGTCTTGTTTTTTTTTTCTTGGGGATTTTTTTTTTTTTTTTTAATAAATGGATTTTATTGTATGGGTGTTACGGTTTCATTACGGTATGATAGAGATATTTTGTTGATTCAAAGATATATTCAGGAATGATGTTTAGAACTTTTTATATATTTTTTTTTCTTTTTTTCCCCAGCTGTTTTTTTTTTTTTTTTTTTTTTTTTTTAGTGAATAAGGATACTGTAATTATCGTATGGGGTATGGGTGTGTTTGTTTATGCCTAGGTCATCTGGAAAGTTCGTTCAGAAAATGAGCTGTTCCTCGGTCGAGTGTAAAGTATCTTGCTATGTCTTTTTTTAATGATAGAATCGTGTTTAGCCAGCTTGTCTGAATGAGCGAATAAGAATAGAATTTAACTGTGTGTGTGTGTGTGTCTGTGTGTCTGTGTGTCTGTGTGTGTCTGTATGTGTCTGTGTGTGTGTTTATCTATATATATTGTAGGGTAGATTGATAGCGCTAGTTAGAAAGATAGATAGATAGACAGATATAAGGATAGATAGATATAAGAGTATACACAAACATTACACTTTCGAAGCAGTCTAGATTACGTTGTGTTGGTAATGCCTGAGGCAAGAATACTGATTGGGTCGAGCTTAGGCCTACCCCTTAATACAGTAGGCCTCGGGTCGCCTCGCATGTTTAGGACTAGTATCTGCAAGCCGCGATGAATACTGCGAGGGATTAGTTTCTAATAAATGACGTCATCCGGGTCATCTATTATGCAGGGTCAGACGAAGTTAATTATCCTTAATCTCGCGTGTTGTCCCAGGGTTAACTGTATCCTTCGTTCGTATCCTCTTATACAAGGCGTAAAGTCATTTTCATAAAAAAAAATCCTATACATACGTACATACATATACATGCAAGCATACATACATACATACATACATACATACATACATACATACATACATACATACATACATACATACATACATACATACATACATACATACATACATGCATGCATATATACATACACGTTCGGATCAGACGCGCGTTCCTGAACTTTATGAAGTGATTAGGATGCGATACAGATTACACACACACACACACACACACACACACACACACACACACACACACACACACACACACACACACACACACACACACACACACACACAGCGAGAGCGAGAGCGAGAGCGAGAGAGAGAGCGAGAGAGAGAGAGCGAGAGAGAGAGATCGAAAGAGAGAGATCGAAAGAGAGAGATCGAAAGAGAGAGAGCGAGAGAGCGAGAAAGAGAGAGCGAGAGAGAGAGAGAGAGAGAGAGAGAGAGAGAGAGAGAGAGAGAGAGAGAGAGAGAGAGAGAGAGAGAGAGAGAGGCTGATGGCTAGGAATTCGGCGTTCAGTCAAAGAATTCCCTCAGATCGGCGCAGCGTGTAAATCAGTGGGTTGGCAGGGAAAGGGAATATATAATAGTAATGATAATAATAATATAATTATTATTAGTAGTAGTAATAGTAATAATAATAATGGTGATGATGATGATGATAATAATAGTAATAATAATAATAATAATGATAATAATAATATTGATAATAATTTTATTATTATTATTATCATTATTATTATTATTATTATTATTATATTATTATTATATTATTATCATTATTATTATCATTATTATTATTAATATTATTGTTTTTATTATTATTATTATTGTGAAGAAGATGAGGATGAGGATGAGGATGATAATCATAGTAATAATAATAATAATAATAATAATAATAATAATAATAATTATAATAATAATGGCACTACAACTACTACTAATAATAACAACAATAATGATAATGTAAAGGATAAAATGATGATAATAACAATAATAACAACAATGATAATAATAAAGATGATAATAATTGATAACGATATTACGAAAGATATTAACAATAATATTCAAAGTCAAAACATCAATACTAAGAACAAAAGCAATGATACATCGCATTTCACATTCAAATGGTTGATATCCCAGCGCGCTTTTCAGACGAACGAGCAGCGTTATATTTGTGTAGTGATACGGAAAAAAGGAAGAATAAATACGCGATAAGGAAATAAATACGGAAATAAATAGTAAATGCGTGATACGGGAAAAAAAGGAAGAGTAAAGATAACATGACAGGAACTCATAATTCCCCGAGGAGAGGGGCGGGGGGGGTTATCTGACCCAGGAGAGGATGGGGGTAGGGGAGGGGGGGAAAGCATCACGTTGTTGTTGTAGTTGTTGTTGGTGGTGGTGGTGTTTTTGTTGCTTTTGTTGTTGTAAGGGTAGGTTCTTCTTGGGGTTCTGTCTCTGTGCGTGCGTGCGTGTGTGTCTATATGTATGATATGTAAGTATGTATGGCTCGGTCTTAATCTGTATCTATTTCTTTCTCTGTCTCTGCAAGTCTCTGCATCTCTTTCTCCCTCCCTCTCTTTCTCCCTCCCTCTTTCTCTCTCTCTCTCTCTCCATCTCCCTCCCCCTCCCCCTCTCCCTCCCTCCCTCCCTCCCTCCTCTCCCTCTCTCTCTCTCTCTCTCCATCTCCCTCTCCCTCTCCCTCTCCTCTCCCCTCCCTCCCTCCTCTCTCCCTCCCTCCCTCCCTCCCTCCCTCCCTCCCTCCCTCCTTCTCTCCCTCCCTCCTCCCTCCCTCCCTCCCTCCCTCCTTCTCTCCCTCTCCCTCTCCCTCCCTCCTTCCCTCCATACCCCCTCTCTTTCTCTCTCACTGTAGAACGAATTCATAAGTATAACAACAACAACAAAAACAAAACAGCCAATCAACACACAAACAAACCAAACAATGCGACAACGATAAATAACACCCATAAAACAAAGAAAGTGTCCACGTTACCCAGTTACCGGACACCATTAAAATAGATGAATTCTTCTTCCATTTTCATTGTGGGTATAACAAAGCATATGTTATGTTATATAATAAGCTCGGTTATATCCTTGTTGGCGGGAATCATTATAGTAAATAGGAATTTTTTTTTTTTTTAATGGGAGAATGATTTAATGAGTTAAGACAGATTAACGAAAGGGTTAAGAAAAATAAATAGAACGAGGAAGAAGAAGAAGAAGAAGAAGAAGAAGAAGAAGAAGAAGAAGAAGAAGAAGAAGAAGAAGAAGAAGAAGAAGAAGAAGAAGAAGAAGAAGCAGCAGAAGAAGGAGGAGAAGAAGAAGAAGAAGAAGAAGAAAAGTTAAGAAAAAAAAAGAAAGATAGAAAGATTGAACTAATTTACGAAGACCAAAAAAAAAGAAAAGAAAGGAAATGATCAGAGAAAAAACATAACGATAGAAGTTTCCATTAATTCTTTAGTCTTCAGATAAAAGGAATGCCAGAGGAGGCTTAACACCTAAGAGATGTTATCCCAAACGTCTTTAGATTACCCCCATCCCCCCCCCCCCCACTCCCGAAAAAAAGGAGAAGAGATAGGCCGAGTCTTCCCTTTTGGGAGAAGTGAAAAAAGACGTTATCTGACTGTGAATGTTTTTTGTTGTTGTTTTTATTATTGTCGTCGTTATTGTCATTTTCATTTTCGTTATCGTTTTCGTTATTGTTATCGTTATCGTTATCACCGTCATTATAATTATCAGCAGCAACATCAGTCATTATAATTATCATTATCATTATTATTATTGTTGTTGTTGTTATTATTATCAATGCTAATAGTATTATTATAACTATCATTATTATCACCATTATTACTGAAACAAGGGTACTGGGCAAAGTCTAATTTGGCGTGGGAATTGTTCAGCAAGCTAGCGGCCAAACCCATAATCAAAGTCACTCGCCATTATCATTACCTCGCCTTCCCCAGTTTCAGGAACCGCCTGTTAAGCGATTAATTCGTTAGTTTTAATTTTATTCTTCCTTTTGTTTGAGGTTTTCTTTCTTTTTCTTTTTTCGGAATAGAGAGAGAGAGGGGGGTGGGTACGGACAAGGGAAAAGAGAGGGAAAAGAAAAGAAAAGGGAAGAGGGAGGGGGAGAGGGAAAGGGAAAGGAAAAAGAAAGAAAAAGAAAGAGGGGGGGGATACGGACAAGGGAAAAGAAGGAGGAGGGGAAGACATGGACAAGGGAAAAGGAGAAAGAGAGGGAGAAGAAAAGAAAAGGGAAGAGGGAGGGGGAAAGGAAAAAGAGAGGGCCTGGGTGATTTCAGAAAGAGATGAAGACGGAGGCGGAGAGAGGAGGACGAAAGTATGGCAGAAGGAGAAAGAAAAAGAGAAGAACAAAGACAAAGACCAGGACAAAAAGAGTGAGAAAGAGAGAACGATAAAGAGAGAGATAGGAGACAGTGAGGAGCGCCTAGAAGTTCAGTAACACAACTTCCTCCCTCTGTTGGCAAGAGCTGGAAACTTCTCAGGCATTTGAGATCGCTTCCGGTCGCCGATTCGAATTATTAGATATTAGAAAGGGAAAAAAAAAGTGGAGCGAGCCTGGCGCTCCTCTCTGTCTCTTCGTCTCTCTTTTTCTTTGTCTCTCTCTCTCTCTCTTACTTTCTCTCTCTCTCTTTCTTTCTGTCTCTCTCTTTCTCTGTCACTCTTCATCTCTTTCTAATAAGAGGAAGCACGAGAGAGAGGAAAGATTCAGTAGGAAAAATACAAAATAGTAATGATAGCATTACGTAAGATAAGAACAGTAGCATTTACAAGGAAAAAAAAGATAAGGACAACACCACTTTGAAGAACAATATTAACACCACAGCCACAAACAACAACAATAATAACAACAGTGACGACGACAATAACAACAGCAGCGCCATCATAAAAACAACAGCAACAACAACAAAAATAACAGCGAATGCCATCGTATAGCTAATGGAAGGACATTAGTTTCAGTTTCTCATTTTTGGTTTCTGGTTTGTTTGTTTTTTTTCTTGTCTGATTTATTTGTTTTATAACTAAATAATTT